TCAAGAGTAGCAGCAGCATGCGTGTGGGGTGTCTGCGCAGGTGCTGCGAACGGCTTCGGGTAACTTGGCTGTCTATTCGCGAATCCGAAAGCACGGCACAGCCGTCACCACTATTGTCAGACACGCCGTTGGAGACATCGCAGTGCGTCTCCTTTTGTCTCCTTTTCTGTCTCCTTTTCTGTCTCCTTTTGAGTCTCCTTTATCTGTCTCCTTTATCTGTCTCCTTTATCTGTCTCCTTTTCTGTCTCCTTTTCTGTCTCCTTTTCTGTCTCCTTTTGAGTCTCCTTCTGTCTCCTCCTGTGTCGCCTTCTGTCTCCTTTTCTGTCTCCTTTTCTGTCTGCTTTTGAGTCTCCTTTTGAGTCTCCTTCTGTCTCCTCCTGTGTCTCCTCCTGTGTCTCCTTTATCTGTCTCCTTTTGTGTCTCTTTCTGTGTCTTTTTTGTCTCCTTTTGTCTCCCTTTGCGTCTCCTTGTGTCTCCTTTGTCTCCTTTATCTGTCTCCTTTATATGTCTCCTTTTCTGTCTCCTTTTGAGTCTCCTTTTGAGTCTCCTTTTGAGTCTCCTTTTGAGTCTCCTTGCGTCTACTTGTGTCTCCTCATTGTCTCCTTGTTGTCTCCTCATTGTCTCCTTGTTGTCTCCTTATTGTCTCCTGTCTCCTTATTGTCTCCTTCTTAGCTTTTCATTGTCTCTGTTGTTGGCTTCTTTGCTGTCTCTTCTTCTGTCTCTTCGTCTGTTTATTTTTTGTTTATTTTTTTATTTTTCTGTTTATTTTTCTCTCTTTTGATGTCTCCTCTGCTGTCTCTTATCTGTCTCTTCATTGTCTCTTCATTGTCTCTTCATTGTCTCTTTAGTTGTCTCTTCTTTTATTTATCTGTCTCTCTTTGTTGTTATTTGTGTATATTTGTCTCCTTTTAACTGCGGTGTCTGTCTCTTTCTTTTTGTCTCCTTTCTCGTACGAATATCTTTTCTTGTGCAATTTTATTAAATAGGTTTTTAATTAATTAATTAATTATATATATATATATATATATATATCCTCATTTAGGGTTTAGGGTTTAGGGTTTGTGTGCAGGCTTTAAAGAAAGACTTGATGAGTATATGCGAAGCCCCAGTAAGAGAGAGATGCGGCAGCCTCGAAGTAAAGGGTCTCCACGTGATTAAGATTAAGCAGTGGCTTGTGCACTTAGGATTCTAATTAGGGTTTAGGGTTTAGGGTTTCAAGGATAGAGTTTAGGGTTTCAAGGATAGGGTTTAGGGTTTCAAGGATAGGGTTTAGGGTTTCTTGAGGGTTAGGGTTTAGGGTTTAGGGTGGAGAGGGATCATCTGCCTCCTCTTTACAGCAAACCCTAGCTGCTCTAGTGCTGACAGCAGCAATTAGGGTTTAGGGTTTAGCGTTTATTAAACCCTAAACCCTAAACCCGAAGGTGTTTTTTTTGTTTATTATTTTTGTCTCCTCAAACCCACAAGCTGCAGAGACACCTGAGACTGCATGCAACAGCAGCAGCAGCAGCAGCTGCTGCTGCTGCTGGTGCTGCTGCTGCCTTATCTGTCTCTAATAAATAGAGATATATATTAGAGACAGACGAAGATAGAAGGAGAGACAGCAGCAGCAACAGGAGGATAGACAGTAGCAGCAACAGAAGGAGAGACAGCAGCAGATATAAAGAGAGACAGCAAAAGACAGAGCAAAAGATAAAGAGACAAAGAGACACAAAAAGAAACAGAGATAAAGAGAAGGAAACGGAGACAGATAAATAAGAGATATCAACAGAGACAAAAGAAAGTAAAAGACAGACAGGAGACAGAGATAGAAGAGACAGAGACAGCTAATTGCACAATTAATAAGTCTCACGAAGGAGACAGTTCTCGCTGTACAGCAGAAACAGCAGCAAACAGAGACAGCAGCAAACAGAAGCAGCAGCAGATGCAGCAGCAAGCGGAAGGTGTATAGGTTTATTAAAATATTGCAGTGTCTCTGGAGCTCTATCTAAGCAAAAGGAGACAGATGAAACAAACAACGAAATAAAAAACAACAAATTTTATTCAAATAAACTCCTATGCAATTGCTGCTGCACGAGGAGACACCTGCAGCAGCAGCAGCAGCAGCAAGGAGACACAAGATACTCCGCTGCCTTCTCACCAGAATGCATGCATGCATTAATAAATGCATGCATGCATTAATAAATGCATGCATAAATGCATGCATAAATAAACGCATGCATAAATGCATGCATAAATAAACGCATGCATGCATGCATAAATGCATGCATAAATAATGCATGCACAAATAAACGCATGCATAAATAAGCCATGCATGCATAATGCATGCATACATAAACACATTATCTTTATGCATGCATGCATGCATGCATGCATAAAGATAATGTGTTTATGAGTTGGGGCTGAGGTAGGCGCTCTGTGTATAATCGAATTCGGCGCCTTCGTAGTTAAATTTATTTTGTTTAAATCCAAACCACCAAATGCCGACAGCAATTGCGAGGACAGACAAAATGCCGGCAGCGAGAGCAAGATAAGGAAGTATATTAAATTGCTGCGTCTTCTGTCTGCAATAGGGTCCTGCTGCTGCTGCTGTTGCTGCTGCACCTGCTGTAGTATTATCTGATGCTGATGCTTCTGCTTCTACTAACTCTGCAGTGTCTTGACAGACGCATGCATAGCCTCCATTAGGCTTACGAGAGCAAGACTTCGCAACTGTCTCTGTGCCGCACGGCCCTGTCTTACAGGGGTCTGTAAGCATGCATTTTAGTGCTTTATTTGTTGTATCTCTCTCAAGTATATATCCTAAATTGCATGTACACTCTACACCTCCTTCTGTTAAATCTTTGCAGCTAGCTACACCCTCAATACCGCAAGGGTTATCTGAACAAGAAAGGTTATTTGAAGCTATCTCACAAGAGACAGACTTACCCTGTCTTACTGCTGTATATCCTGTTCTACAGACGCATGTATATTCTGTCTCTGATATATCTACACACTCTTCAACTCTCTCAATAGGCCCACATATATCTGTAAGCCCTCTCTTACAAGGTGCAATCCTTACACATTTATTATCTTTTTCTTCATAGCCTTTTGGACATATACATTTAGCAATATCTTTGTGCTGTACACACCTTCCTGGTGTACAGTCTCTTTGCATGCAGAAGTCTTCAAAGCATTCTCGTCCGTCTCCTCTAGTACCCTCCTTACATTTACAATATACACCGCCGTGCTCTCCTAGTTCTTCTATACAATCTGCTGCAGCAGAACAGCTATTAGAAGTACAGCGGCACTTACCGTAAGAATATGCTTCATGAATAAATACGCATAAAGCTTTATTAGGAGTACAAAGATTGCCTCCAAAGTATATTGTATTATGTATCTTACTGCAGCACTGACCCTCTATACAGTGCAACCCGCTTGGATATAACTCTGTACGTACACCCCCCGGCCCGCACGGCCTCCCGTCCATTGAATACATACAAACATAATGTCTCTCCTCCCAGTTGTCAGGGTGTCTCCAGCCCCAGCCTCTAACAGCAAACCACCGGCTATCAACGCCTGCTCGAGATATCTCTGTATCAGATGATGAAGATGAAGAAGAAGAAGAAGAAGTAGATGATAATGATAATAATGATGCTTCAGGTGTAGATATTGTTAGACTTCTACCTTCATGTACACCTGAGTAATTTTGTCTTTTAAAAGACATACCTCCAGCAATATTTCTCTTTAATGCACGCACTGTTGATATCCTAAACGAAGAACTTATCAAATTGCTTACTAATAAACCTTTAGAGTTCGTAGCAGAGACAGAAGGATATACAGACATTGATATTGAATCAGCATCATCTACCCCCTCAGATGGACCGACAATAGGGGCCTTACAGGGGGACCCAGGGGGGCCCCCAGGAGGATCTCCAATAGGGGCCTCACAGGGGGCCCCAGGGGGGCCCCCAGAAGGGTCCTCAGGGGGGCCCCCAGAAGGGTCCTCAGGAGGGCCCCCTGAAGGGTCCTCAGGGGGGCCCCCAGAGGGGTCCCCAGTGGGTTCATCAGAGGGGGCCCCTTTGGGGGCCCCTGAGAGGGTGAGGGAGGGGCCCCCAGAGGGGCCCTCAGATAGGACTTTAGAGGGGCCCTCAGAAGGGGGGGCCCCAGAGGGGCCCTCAGCGGGGGCCCCTTCAGGGGCCCCCTCTGGGGGCCCCTGAGGATTAGCTGATTGTAGAGGGGGCCCCTCTGGGGAGTTTAGAAGATATTGTGAAGAGAGAGGGGTTTGGCTGGTAGGGACAGCGAGTGCTGCCCTTGGATATATAGAGAGGAGAAGCAGATACACCCCAAATTGATGAGCTACGAGCATAGGGATGAGAGAAATAGATATATAAAAATAATTAAAATAAAAAAATTAAAGCCCTCATTGCTTTTATTATTACTTTTAAAGAAAGAAGATGCAGCACAACAGCAAACAAGACACACACAGACCGACAGACAGACCATTGGCTGCTGCTGCTGCTGCCGCTGCTGCTGCTGCTGCTGCTGCTGCAGCTAGAAGGAGTTTTTTTGCGCAAATTTTCTTGCGAATAAGTTTTTAAAAATAATTTAATTAAATGAATTTAAAAATAAGAGCTTAAAGATGTTTCTTTTATCGAATCTGTGGTGCGGGGGCCAGGGGCTAAGTCGACAGCGCCTCAAGGTAGTGGAGTGTACGTACAGCTCGTTGTATTTCTGTCTTTGTTTAGAACCAAAGTTATATAAAAATAAATAATATATAAAAATATAAAAACAATTAATGTTTAAAATACTTCATAGAGACGCTGCGGGGTCTACCGATCCCCATGTCTCCGTGTATATATATATATATATATATATTTATATTTATATTTATATTTATATTTATATATAACATCTATCCTTTTTTATTTGTTTTGATTCTTATTGTTGCTGCTGCTGTCTCTCCTTTCTGCATGCACTTCGTAGACAGCGCAGCACCCTTAAAATAATATTTTATTTATGCTTTTTAGGGCCCCGCAATAAAAACTATTACTGCTTCTTTGTCTGCTATCTACTCTGTCTCTGAGGGTTTAGGGTTTGAGCTAAGCGTCTCTAACGCTTAATTTCAATGTCTACAGTTTTTTTCTCAGGGTTTAGGGTTTAGGGCTGAGTAATCCCCTCTGCAGCAACACAACAACAACAACAACAACAACAACAACAACAACAACAACAACAACAACAACAACAACAACA